TTGGAGTATTAAAATGACTATTCCGCAATTTAAGGGGAGAAGTGATCTGGAAGCATATTTAGAGTGGGAAAGGAAGGTTGAGATGATTTTTTAGTGTTATAATTATTCGGAGGAGAAAAAGGTAAATTGGCAGTGCTTGAATTCGTGGATTACGCGATATCTTGGTAGGATCAAGTACTTACATCACGGCGTAGGGCTCGGGAAAGGCCAATTAGCACTTGGGATGAGTTGAAGATGTTGATGATGAGGAGGTTTGTTCCGAGTCACTATTATAGGGAAATCCATCAAATATTGCAAGGTTTGTATCAAGGATCGAAAAGCGTAGAGGATTGTCACAAGGAGATGGAAATTCTTATAATTCGGGCTAATGTGGAGGAAGATTGGGAAGCTACCATGGCACGGTTCTTGAAAGGGTTAAATTGGGATATTGCAAACGTTGTAGAGTTGCAACATCATGTGGAAATCGAGGACATGTTACATGTGGCAATGAAGGTCGAGAGGCAATTGAAGAGGAAGGGGATGTCTAGGCAACCGTTAGGTACTTCGACTCCTAATCCAACATGGAAATCGAAGTGGGATGACAACAACAAAAATGGGGCTGCACCTAGAGGTAAAAATGATTGGCAAAAGGGCAAGGACGAAAATGCTAGCAAACCAATATCAAAATCGAAGGCACAACCGTTGCGTAATCGGGACATCAAATGTTTTAGGCGTTTGGAAACGAGGCATATTGCTTCTCAATGTCCAAACAAACGGACGATGGTGTTGCGGGATAATGGAGAGATTGTGAGTGATAGTGATGGCGAGTTTGATGACATGCCAGCGTTGAAGGGTGTTAGTGAAGAAGAAAAAGTTGAAGGGCCGGTTGGGGATTTACTAGTCACAAGGTGAGCTCTCACTACTCACGTCAAAGCGGATGACTTGGAGTTGCAACGGGAGAACATTTTCCACACTCGATGCCACGTCAACAATACGGTATGTAGTGTTATAATTGATGGTGGTAGTTGCACTAATGTAGCTAGCGTATCTCTTGTAGAAAAATTGGGTTTAACATTGTTGAAACACCTGAGACCTTATAAATTGCAATGGTTGAATGAGAGTGGCGAGGTGAGGGTGAATTGAAGAGTGTTACTTAATTTGTCAATTGGGAGTTATAAGGACAAGTTAGTATGTGATGTGGTGCCAATGCAAGTGGGAAATATTTTATTGGGGCGGCCATGGCAATACGATAGGAAAGCTATGCATGATGGGTACAAAAATCGATATAGTTTCATTAAGGATGGAAGGACCATTACTCTTGTGCCATTAACACCAGCGCAAGTCTATGAGGACCAATTAAAATTGAGAAGTGAGGAAGAGAGGAGAGCAAAAGAGTTAGAAAAAATGAGAGCAAATAGTGAGTTGGAGAAAAAGAGAGAAAATGTTAAGATAGCCATTAGAGAGAAAAAGAGAGAGCAATCATAAGAGAGGAAAGAAAGAGAGTGCCCCAAGAGAAGAGAGAAAACACGAGCGAATTTCTTTGCAAAAGAAAGTGATTTGAGGAGGGCGGTAGTTGAGAGAAAAGAGATGATCTTGTTCGTTTATAAGGAATCACTCCTCAATTTTGAGGAAACTAACCCACCCTTCCCTAGTTTAGCTAAGTCTTTGTTGCAGGAATTCGACGATGTATTTTCGGAGGATGCACCAAGTGGATTGCCACCTATTCGAGGCATTGAACATCAAATTGACTTCATACCCGAAGCTGTCATTCCAAATCGACCGGCTTATCGAAGTAATCTTGAGGAGACTAAGGAGCTTCAAAGGCAAGTGGAGGAGTTAATGAGCAAAGGATACGTGAGGGAAAGCATGAGTCCTTGTGCGGTACCAGTTTTGCTTGTACCAAAAAAGGATGGAACATGGTGATTGTGATTGGATTGTAGGGCTATCAACAACATAATGGTAAAGTATCATCACCCTATACCTAGGTTAGATGATATGATTGATGAATTACATGGTTCTTGCATATTTTCTAAAATTGATTTAAAAAGCGGGTATCATCAAATTCGTATGCGGGAGGGTGATGAATGGAAAATGGCTTTTAAAACTAAATATGGTTTATATGAATGGTTGGTTATGCCGTTTGGACTCACAAATGCACCTAGCACGTTTATGCATTTAATGAATCATGTTTTACGTGCTTTTATAGGAAAATTTGTTGTGGTTTATTTTGACGATATATTAATCTATAGCAAAGACCTAGGAGAGCATTTGGAACATTTAAAATGTGTGCTAATTGTTTTAAGGAAAGAACAACTCTATGCTTATCTTAAGAAATGCACATTTTGTATGGATAGAGTTATATTTCTTGGATTTGTGGTTAGTGCTAATGGGGTAGAAGTAGACAATGAAAAGATAAAAGCTATTAGAGATTGGCCGACACCTAAAAGCATAACGGAAGTTAGGAGTTTTCATGGTTTGGCTAGTTTTTATAAGCAATTTGTGAAGGATTTTAGCACTATCACTGCACCACTCACGGAAGTAGTTAAAAAGAGTGTAGGTTTTCATTGGGGTGATGAACAGGAACTTGCATTTAATACTATTAAAGGTAGATTGTGTGAAGAACCTATTTTGGCATTACCTAATTTTGACAAAACATTTGAGATTAAGTGTGATGCATCAAGAATAGTGATTGGAGCAGTTTTAATGCAGGATCGGAGGCCTATTGCATACTTTAGAGAGAAATTAAGTGGAGCTGCTTTAAATTATCCTACATATGACAAAGAACTTTATGTACCTACTCGAGCTTTGGAGACTTGGAAACATTATCTATGGCCGAAGGAGTTCGTAATACACACCGATCATGAGTCACTAAAGCACTTGCGGGGACAAGGTAAATTGAACAAGAGACATGCACGGTGGATGGAATTCATTGAGACCTTTCCATACGTCATTCGGTATAAACAAGGTAAGGAAAATGTGGTGGCGGATGCGTTGTCTTGAAGGTACGTATTGCTAACTACTCTTGATTCTAAGTTACTTGAGTTTGAACATATTAAGGAATTATATGAAAAAGATGTTGATTTTTCGGATATTTATTTGTCATGCATTAAGGGGGCGGTTGATAGGTTCTTTAGGTATGAGGGGTATTTATTTCGAGAAAATAAGTTATGTGTTCCTAACTGTTCTATTCGAGAATTGTTAGTAAGGGAAGCACATAGTGGTGGATTGATGGGACACTTTGGGGTTCAAAAGACTTTAGATGTATTGAAGGAGCATTTTTATTGGTCTAAGATGAAAAGTGATGTTGAGCGAATTTGTAGTCGATGCATAGGTTGTAAAAAGGCTAAATCTAAAGTTTTACCACAAGGTTTGTACACACCTTTACCTACACCTAGTGAGCCTTGGGTTGATATCTCGATGGACTTCGTTTTGGGTTTACCTAGGACTAAGAGAGGTCGGGATTCTATTTTTTTGGTTGTAGATAGGTTCAGCAAAATGGCACATTTTATACCATGTCACAAAACTGATGATGCCACGAACATTGCTGACTTATTCTTTAAAGAGATTGTGAGTTTACATGGGGTTCCTAGAAGCATAGTGTCGGATCGAGATGTCAAATTTTTGAGTCACTTTTGAAGAGTTTTGTGGGGTAAGTTAGGCACTAAGTTACTATTTTCCACAACTTGTCACCCACAAACAGATGGACAAACTGAGGTAGTGAATAGGAATATGACACAATTGTTACGCACAGTAATTAATAAAAATTTGAAGAGTTGGGAGGAGTGTCTACCATTTGTTGAATTTGCATACAATCGAGCTGTTCACTCTACTACGTTATATTCTCCATTTAAAATTGTATATGGTTTTAATCCACTAACTCCTTTGGATTTAATTCCCTTACCTGTGAATGAACATGGTAGTTTAGATGGCAAAAAGAAGGCGGAATTGGTTAAGTCACTCCATGAAAAGGTAAAAGCACAAATTGAAAACAAAAGTAAGTTGGTTGCATCGTAGGCGAACAAAGGTAGGAAGCGCGTGACATTCGAGCCAGGAGATTGGGTTTGGGTGCACCTTAGGAAAGAGCGGTTTTCGAAGCAAATGAAGTCCAAGTTGCAACCGAGGGGCAATGGTCCATTTCAAGTGATTGAAAAGATAAACGAAAATACTTACAAGTTGGACCTTCCAGGTGAGTACAATGTTTCGACTACTTTTAATGTATCTGATCTCTCTCTGTTTGATGCAGGTTCAGATTCGAGGATTCACCCATTGATAGTCGATGGCGGACTAATGACGCAATCAAAGGCAAAACAAGTGAAACAAGCGATGGGATTGCTCGTTCAAGAAACCATTGATGGAACCATGTTCGGGACTCAAAATGGAGCAACTTTCATTTTCGGGTCGAAGGCCGAATCAACTTGGATTAATTTGTTATCAAGCGATGAAACCGGAGGCTGAAAAAACCATGCACGACCGCACAACAAAAACACCATGCGACCGCACAGTGGCATACCGAAACTTAAATTGGGATTTTTGTTGAACCATGCGACCACATGGAAATACACCACGCGGCCGCACAGGCCAAAAATTTGGCGAATGTTTCAATTTTGGCAATTTTTCATATTTTGTTAGATTTTGATTATTTTCCATATTTTGGAGATTATGCTCGACTTTTGCATGATTTTTACCTAGTTTTTAGGTTTATATAAATAGGAGTTTCCATTCAATTGTTAAAAACCTTTGAAATTATTGATATTGAATTATAGTGAGGCGTATTGTCTTCTCTTCATTGTTCTTCATTGAACAACTTCGAACTTATCAAGTGTTAACTTGTGGTATTCAAACAATCGGATTTAATTCTTCGATTGCGTGATCAAGGGATCTTTCAAGCGTCGTTCTTGTTGGGTTTTTTGGTTCGACTTTCTTTTGGGTTAATCCTAAACTTTGGATTAATTTGGCTTTCTTGGGTTCGTCAATCTCGTTGTGGGTTTTGTAGTCAACGTTGCTACGGGGTTGGCATCAGGATGTATACTAATTCACAAGACCAAGTTGCTCGGGAATTTGTCCAATTTTACACCAACTTACTAGGTAAAAGTAAGCCGGTTCGGCTTATTGAGCTGGACATTATTAGCAATGGACCTTTGATATCTTTGGAACAAGGTAACTCATTGATCCGGGACATTTCTAGTGAGGAGATCAAAAGAAGCACTCATTGGTATTGGAGATGGTAAATCTCCCAGGCCGGATGGTGACACTTTATGTTTCTTTAAAAAGCATGGGGGAGTATTGAACATTATTTTGTGGAGGCTATCATGGAATTCTTCTCATCAGGATACATCCTCAAACAAATCAACTACATTGTCATTGCTTTGGTGCCAAAGTCAAGTCACGTACCTAGCGTTGGAGATTATAGGCCTATATCTTGTTGTAATGATATCTACAAAGTCATCGGGATACATCCTCAAACAAATCAACTACACTGTCATTGCTTTGATGCCAAAGTCAAGTCACGCACCTAGCATTGGAGATTATAGGCCTATATCTTGTTGTAATGCTATCTACAAAGTGATTATTAAAATCCTTGCTTCTAGATTGAGGCTTATCTTGGGGAACATTGTGGACCATGCACAAGCCACTTTTGTTGAGGGTAGGATTATGATGGAAAACATCCATCTTACCCAAGAACTCATGAGACAATATAATAGAAAGAAGATTGCTCCGAGATACCTCCTAAAAATTGATCTAAGAAAAGCTTATTATTCGATAAGTTGGGATTTCCTTAAAGGTTTTCTTGAACACTTCCCTTCGAGATTTATACAGTTGGTTATGGAATGTGTTATTTCTCCAACATATTCCATAGCATTGAACGGGAGTATACATGGTTTCTTCAAATGAGGGAAAGGCCTCCGGCAATGTGATCCTCTATCCCTTTTTTTTTTGTTCGTGCTTTGTATTAAATTTTTTCAAGAATGGTTAGGGCTGCCATAAATGATAGTGAATATAATTATCACCCTAATTGTGGCCCCTTAAAGATCACTCACTTAGGTTTTATGGATGATTTTATACTCTTTGCAAGGGAAGATTTTATGTACTAATGGATTTTCTTTCCAACTATGGTCTTGTATCGAGTTTAAGGATGAACATCCCAAAGTCCAGTTTGAATACAGCTGCTATTCATGGGCAAGAGCTTGATGATATCCTTGAACTCACAAATTTCTCGAAGAGTACTATGTCTTTTCGTTATTTGGGCATCCATCTTGCTTCGAAGAAGCTCAAAATTAGTTGTTATGCTCCATTTCTTAAAAAAATATAGCTTATATTGGAGCTTGGAATTGCTCCTCTCTATCTTATGCGGGCAACGTGGAACTTAGTAGGGCAGTCCTTCAAGGTATTGAATATTTTTGGGTTTCTATCTTCCTTATCCCAACTACAGTTATCTCAATAATTGTTAGCCTTTGGCAAAAATTTCATTAGGGCTCCAAGAAGCCTTTGGTGGTGTGGAAGGATGTTTGCCTTCCAAAATATGATGGGGGTCTTGGGTTGAAGGACTTGAAAAGTTGGAACTTAGTTTTACTTGCTAAATTCCTATGGAATATTCAACATAAAAAGGACACTCTTTGGATACGTTAGGTTTACCAATTTTACCATAAAGGGACTTGCATTTAGGATGTTTTACCAAGAAAAGATCACTCTCCCCTCTTCAAAAAACTGCTGGAAATCAGGGATATGTTGCTAAAAACTGTTGCTGCCCTGCAAATTTGTGTACAAGAACAGTTCGCGTTGTCCATTCAGGTGGTGAGAGGAAACAACCTGATTACATCTGATGGAATAACCTCAAGTCAGCGTGTTGTGTTTCCATAGAACAGTGACCGTTTTCAGGCAATTCAAGAAAACATTTAAGCCCTGGTCAATTGGTGAAAAATTCTACACAAAAATGACCTATGATGACTTCCGGCCTAGAGGTACAAAGAGGATTTGGTCTGCCAATGTTTGGAGATGTTGTATAACACCGAAGCACTCATTTTTGCTATGGTTAGGGGTTCAATCTAAACTCCTAACTAAAGATAAATTATAATATTTGGATATCTATCGTGATTATGTTCTTTGTGGGCATATGGTGGAAATAGACTGTCACTTATTTTTTGTATATTCTTTTACATCATCCTTATGGGAAAACATTAGACATTGGCTCGACATTAGAAGATACATGTCAATACTTGCTAACGCTTTAAAGTGGATGAAAAAATAGGGCCATGGGACATCATGGCTCAGTAAGGCTAAGAGGATTGCACTTGCAAGTACTGTCTACTACATTTGTTAGCATGTAACAAGAATATTTTTGAAGACCTTTACCTCACTTGGATTGTATTGTGTGACAAATCAAGATACACGTATACAAAGTTATGTTCTCTTTGTATTCGGATGTCTTGATCCATTTCGAATCCTTAGTGTTGTGTCATTAATTTTCATTTTACTTCATTTATTTTTAGCTCACTCGGGTATACCCGGAGTAATTGTACATAACATTGGCTTTGTGTTGACCAAGTATGCCCAGTGTACTTGTACATGAAATTTTGATCAATGAAATTTATATTAACCGATCAAAAAAAATATCATTTTAAATTTTGGCAAGTGCGGTGCCATGGTCTTCTTACATTTCGTCAGTACCAGCATCAACAATGGAGATCCCAGCTCATCCCCCAACTACCGTCGCGATTGTTCGCCTGGTATACACCTGAATTGCAATAATTCTACTTTATGAGATCGACAATTATTGTTGCAATCCTCTTCTACAAGCAATGGAATGAAGCATTGGAAACAGCTATCCTTTAAAACCCATAAAGAGATGTGTTCATTTTCCTTTAAAAACTCAACAACCAAAAAATATTTTATGCACTATGTCCAAGGGTGTACCATTCTCGTGCATTTCCTCCATACTTGTGGTCCCATACTTTGTAAAATTAACTTGTTCAATTAGAGTCATGCTATATGTAGTCTTGTTCAATTAACTTTTTGTAACCTTCATTCGTAGTACCATACTGAAGGAAAAAGTTGCTAATTTCATTCTTGTAGTCAATCTCATACTTTGAATGAAAAAGTAACTCTTTGCAACATTCCCTTCTCGTATATTTTACAGTCTATTTCCTGAAGGAACAAAGAAAACATTATCATAATGTAAGAAGTCAAGATGCACATATATAAAAATCTGTTGCAACAATATGCTAAAAAGAGAGGTCTTATTATGCCTGTGTATACTCGTAAACTCGACGGTCCTCCTCACGCTCTCCGCTACAAGTCACGTGTCTCTCTGGATGGAAAAATATATAAAGCACAATCATATTTTTTTCACACTAAAAGATGCTGAAAATGTAGCAGTCAAAGTTGCTTGTGAAGCTTTGTCAATTGCTAAGACCCAAGAGGTCACTATTCGAACTAACTAATTTTGATACTTTTATTAGTATTGCTTTTTTGTTGTATTACATTTGTGCATTATAATTACTTTTGGATAAATGAATATACAAAAATGTCCTAGAAGATATGGCCCAGAAAAGAGGTCTTAAGTTTCCGTCATATGATTCATCCTCGGTAGGTCCTCACAAGACTGGACTTGTGTCAATTATTGTGGTTGGAAGTGACACTTTACAGGGAACTGAAGCCAGAACAAAGAAGCAGGCAGAAGCAAATGCTGCTAAAGTGGCTTACATTGCTCTTAGTCAAGTAAGAAACTAATTATTTATTGGGTTTTAAGTTTGGTCTAGTCTCTAAAAACAACAACTTTAGTTATTTCTTTTTAGCTCATGCATATGAGTAAATACCTTGCTTAAATGATTATATGCCTCCATTGCTACCTTTATTTGTCTTTATGCATGCTGGTCCCTTTTGATTTCTGATTAAAATAAGCTCCAATATATTAAAAACATTGGCTAATACTTCTAAGCACAGAAAATCTCCATTGGTACTGCAATGGTGTTGTAATAGGTATTTAAAACTTATAATTTCTCAAAACTTGTAGCTAGATAGTAACTGATAGGTTTAACTATTTCAAATAAAATAGTCTTTGTTTTGTATAGCTTTGATAACAAGTTCTGATATTATCTTTTACTTATACCATATGGTCCAAACTCCTTATATCAGGCAAGAAATTACAATTTTCTTTTGGGATAGTTCATTCTTTTTTCCTTTTGATGAAGAGGCACACCGTTCAATAAGTATCATTGTCTGACATGAACAACACGACAGGTGGTGAAGAACCCGTGTTGGGGTGTCCATGCTCCATGTTAGTAACTCTATAATTTGTAGATTTTTTAATATGTTCGTTATTCTTATTAATAAACACAGTATACTTTCTTGACTCATTTCAGCATCTTTTTACTCTTCAAGATCTCATTAAGCAATTTTGTTAACCATATAACACCTAATCTGCCTAAACACTTCCATACTTTGATAGAAATTCAGCACCAGTAATTGCGTTTCTTATCTTCATCCTTTTCTTTGCTTCCTTCACTTCTAAAACTTATTATGTTTACTTCCTCGTATCTCAAGTCCTATGATCAGAAGCTAGTATCAAAAAATCTGTTCTAAAGCATTTATTTCATGTACAGTCTCCCTCATCCCAAGTTATATAATCTCTGCATGCTCTTTCTTTAATTTTTTAACTTCTTATTTTAAGATAATATTTGTTTCGTGTAGAACAAAGATATGTCATTTTAAATAAATTACATAATTTATCAGTAACTTCATTTTGTTTTAATCTCCAGAAAGCAAGATAGATGCTAAAAGACAGGAGACTTCATATTGGAATGTAACTGCTGGTATGACATGTAAGTATTATACCCTAGGTCTAATCAACTTTGGACATAAATACTTTAATATATAATTAATGCAATTAAATGGCAGATCTATTATTTAATTAATAGACAATTAAATAAATAATAAAGTCCGTAGATTCAAATCTTCGTAATTTGCTAATCACAAGGAGTTGTGATTGTGAGATACAAATTATATCTGATTGAATCTTAAATCGTCCATGGTCGTAAGTAATAACGAGATACGGATATCGTCATTACGGATAGACCATCACGTGTGGCATTTCTTACTTGTGAAGTAAGTAGCTGATCTCACAAGCAAAAGTGTGGTGACACTTAAATGACACGTGGATGTTTTGTTATAGAACAAAACATTGGAGACCCGCCGAGAGATTCCACATGCATAACTATCTGAGTGTCGGTGATTAATCTCTAACGTTCGGTAGTGGAATTGGTCCTTAGACATGAGGTCGTCATGGTACCTTATATGGGGACAGTCATACTTTGGCGGTGTTGGATGTTGCTCTACAAAGGGCCTCTAATACGACATCGTTCGGGTACGTTAAGAATCGTATGAAGGTTATGATTGACCAATAAAGGATTCGTCACTCTTAGATAGTAAAAGATTATGATCTGCGTTTCATTCAATTAAGACGATAACGAAATCTTTGGCCAAGGTGTACTCATAAGTTGAAAATGAGTTTTCGACTTATATTGACTTAATAGTGGAGTGAAAGATATGATCGAAATTCGGGATTGACACAATTCCATATCTCGTAATTGATCGGATCATATTGACAAAGGGATTATAGTTTCACGATAAACGAACGAATTTGGTTTTGTCATACCACATGACATTTCCCGTCACATGTATTGCCCTGACACATTGCTAGATGTCAAGCAGGGACGGCGAGTGTGAATTGATGATAAATTAAAAGGGTGTTTTAATTTATCAATTTTGATTAGATCAAAATATTATTTCACGTCATTAGACGTCGCGGTCAGGAACCTAATGGGTCGCACACAAAAGAGAATTGGAAGATTTCAAATTGCCAACTGGTTAATTTAACAATCGTTGGATAAATTAATTAATTGAATTTGTTATTTATATCCCCGACTTTATTAATTGGATTAATTAATTCATTGACCGGGTTTAATTAAATGGATTAATTAAATATTGGATAGAACCAGGCCGAGCCCGTTTAGGTTTATATAAATACATGGCTAGGGTTTGAGGTCCATATGGTTTTCAATATTCTTGCTGGCACAAGAGGAAAACCCTAGTAGCT